TGTGTGTGTGTGTGTGTGTGTGTGTGTGTGTGTGTCTGGTATAACTATGTCAAATGCCACTGAATCCACCCTAAACTGTGTAGAGGGGTTTTTCTCTCCCCAGTCCGGCTCCGATGCTCTCGACTCCCGACTGCTGAGAGGATTTTCCAAAGTAGTAGGAGGAGGAGAAGAAGAAGAAGCAGTGCTAGTTATTGCATTAACCACCACACTCAGCTGACTAACATTTGTGCGCTTTTTCTAAACCATCCATTATTCATTACTCCCTGCTGCTTTTCCGCAGTCGAACTCAAGAGTCTGGGGCTGAGAGATGAAGATGAGAGAGGCAAGTTCTGGTTTCAGCGTCACAGGTCTCACCCAGGAGTGCACGCTTTAGGAAATACATTCAGCTCACAAAATATTATGAGCTCATTCTTACTAGAAAGCTGCTTTCAAATATCCTCAGTGCAAGTTTCAGGGGTTTCTAAGTTTAGACATCATTTCAGATCCTGCAGATGACAAATTATACATTTTCTCTGTCCTGAGGAAGTGACTGAACTGAAGGGGATTAGCACTGAATCACAGATTTTGCTTGGTGGGTATGTGAAATGTAAAAATGACGGTGGCCCTGAGGGGCAAAACAACACAAAATTTCCACATGTTTTGTGATTTGTTGTTGTGTTTTCTTACTTTTCTATGTGCCTTTTTCATTTACAATTTTAATTTGTCTTTTCTTATTTACTGATGTATTTTGTCATTTCGAAAATAATAGAGAAGCAGGATGTGTTAAATGACATGTGATTCAGTGTGTGTCCTCTCATCTGTCCTTGTCCTGGCAGCTTCTGCTTCCACTAAGATCATAATGGATTTGGCAAGAACATAAAATGAATGGAAAGACGATAGGAGTAAAAAAAAAAACCCTATCATATTAATAAGAACTAATGCTATTTGAATGAGTGTAGGTGCAAAGAGAATGTACAGAATGTCCCTCCGATTAGGTCCTTCCTCTGTGGGACACCAGTCTGTCTGTCTGTCTCAGAAGTCTGTGACCTTGAGGATAGTCCCCCCCCCACCACCACACACACACACACACACACACACACACACACACACACACACACACACACACACAGTGTTCACATTCAGAGGTGGAGCAACAGTGGGATTTGCATTGAGAGAAGAAGAAATGCACAAAGCAAATGTGAGCAATGCAACTGAACTTGCCTTTCAAGCTCTCTCAGGACACATTCCAGTGTATTTACACGGAAACACAGACACACGCACACACACACTGAGAGAGAGAGAGAGAGAGAGAGAGAGAGAGATACTACATGTAAATAAAGCAGGTGTAAAGAAGCAGTCATTGCATAAGTGTTTCCACAGAAATGTTCTATAGTTAATATGTTCCATGTGTGTTTGTTAAATCTTGCTGCTGCAGGTAATTCACTGTCTAAATATGAAATAATTAACAACTGAATCCAATAACACGTCCAGTCCCCTCTCACATCCACCTGCGCGCTCCCTTCTGTCTGTGCCTGCGTAAAATATATCTGCTTCACGGTTTTCACCTCATCCACTCAACTTTCCCGACATCAAGGAATGTGAGTGGCATTCATGCATTTCCCCCCTGGCAACGCGATCCTTTCTCCAATGACGATCAGAGAGCCACGCAGCAACAAAGCCAGAAACACAGCTGATCCATCTCCAAACACCAGAGGACAGCGGGCAGCTTACCTGCTCCACGCCGGACGACGACGCACAGAACACCGAATGTGGAGCTCCGCTCAGCACCTCCAGACCTCCGTCCATCCAGCGCCGCACATAGCAGCCCACATTACACCCCTTATCCCCCCCCC